TTTTCTCTGTATCTATGAAGCGCCTTGAGGCGACTTTTGTTGTGATTTGGCGCTATATAAATAAAATTGAATTGAATTGAATTGAATTGAAAAAGCTAATTAATATTTTAGAAATGAAAGCTCAGGAAGAGACGGTCCATACAGATCTGGGATCAAAAATATAAAAAGCAAGTAAAATATGACATCACTTCCTGTTCATCAGCTTTACAGTGAACTTGCTGTAAAGGACATATTTGTAAAAGCAAATCTTAAACTTTTATGAGACTCAGCCTGAAGGTCATCTGTGCATATTTGGGTGAAAACTAAAAAACACTTTTTATGGACTGTTACTTTTATAGAAACACCCTCACCTTCCTGAGGAGTTGTGCAGTGTTCGGGAATCGAAGCCAGGATTGATTCCAGTATGTCCAAAGCAACTGCAGGCTGACTGTTGTCGATGTGAAGCCACGCCAGCCAGATGAGAAAACCTTTTCTTTCTGAAACAGAGACGCAAACTTGCCTCGAAGGACTGTTGTTGATGAGAGCCTGCATATGGCAAATCGCATGTCCCGTCATCTTGTGTTTGCAATAGAGTTGGCAAAGACAAACAGTGAGCTGGTGGCTCAAAATTTGGTAATGGTTTCTCTCTCTGCTTTGGAGCTTTGGAAAAGTGAGAGCTTTGCGCAAATATGGAGCCATCTGAGGTGGAACGGGGGTTTGTTGTTCAGCGACACTGTCCAAAAGTAATACCATACTGCCAAGACAGTCAGAGAGCGTGGCAGAGGGCAGCAGAGAAGCTCTCCTGACTGAACTGGCACTGAGGTGGGGACGGTGAAGTTCACTGTAAAGCTTTCCCAGTGCCAGATATCCATGACTGGGAGAGATCCTCCATGGTCTTTGAGCTTCATCCCAAAGAATGAGTAGCCTTTCCAGATAAGGAACAACCTGAGCTCCCGTAGCAGAAGTCCAGTGGTGCTTTGCCAATAGCAGACAAGCCCGGGCTTCTGCCACTTTGTTGTGAGAGAGGATAGCTTTCTTGAGCATGTATTTAAGAGAAGAGTTGTCCTCTAAGCTTTTCAGACAATCTGGGATTCCTATTAGTAAGGCAACAAGTCGTTCTGTCACAGCAAAGAAACTTTCTGTATTTTTCTGCAAAAGATATATTGCAGCAAGGTTGGAGAAGATGCTGGCCAACAGCCTGAGGTCTGTGAAGCCTTCTCTTGGGACACTGAGAGTTTCCTCAAAATAAACCTGGGCTTGATTGAACTTTGACCTACCTACGCAGAGCTTCCCCAACAGGAAGCATAAACGAGTTTGTGACCAGAAAAGGTGTTTCTTCCTGGCGGTCTCCCTGGCAACACCCAGAAAGGAAATCAGTTCATCCTCATCACAGTGACCAGTGAAAGTGGAGGAGGCCAGTTTTTCAGAACTCAGTGCATACAGAATGCCAAACTCGACTTTGTAGTCTCGGCCGTCCAAAAAAGATAAGAGTGGAATCAATGTGTTTTTGTTCCCGTCAACTGGTTGGACCACGAAAGAGGGAAGTTTGGGGCTTTTTGCCTCTGCAGCCTGGCCCGATTCCTCTAGGGTCTCCCTCTTGGTTACGGTGTAATGAGGGGTCGACTGTTTGTCTTGATCAAGAAACCTGTGAATGTTTGTCTTGAACTCTTTCTGTTCAGACTCAGCTTTTCTTGAAGAGCTGGCTGCAAAAGAATAATGAGAGAGACAATAATGATGGCATGCACAGGAGGCCAGTTAGTAAAGAAATGCTAATGTCATACTTACGTGATGTTTTGTTCTCAGACTCCTGATAAGTGACCATATCTAAGATTGAACAACAGCTATTATGAGAAAGTGAACGTGTAAACAACAAAATCCTCAGTGACTGGTAAATAAATGCTCAGAAACAAAACTTGGTGCAAATTATATACACAAATGTATTTTATACTTGTCTTTGAACCTTTATTTATACAAAACGGTAGCGACAGAGAACTGCATGCATCCAAAACAAGCGAGAAGTTGGACTGTGGCCACAAAAGTCTTGAAATTCATAGACACAAAGAAATGGCATAAAATTATTATATGCACGGTGCATCTTTGCTCGCAACAGCCTATAAAGGCAAAAAGAGTGTAACTTTGTCACAGTAAAGCAAAGGACACCAGACACTGGTTTCTTTCATCTGTGACAACATGGCAACAGTTTTTGTACCTATATTTGATCAAACACAACCATAACCACAGCAGTGGCAGTTTACAGTAATCTGAATTATTTTAGTCATGCTAGCAGCAAGATTTCACAGATGGTACAGATGTTGGTGAGCAGGCTGGTTGGTACGTAATGTTTTTAGCCTTTTCATTAAATGCCACCAACACGTCAAAAATTTCCATTTAATAAGTAAGTAATAATTTGGAGGATTGCAATTTTTCATGTCCCTAATTCATACAACACCTCATTATGCTTGTAGATTTTGCCTCCATGAACTCATCAATGGAAGTTAAGCAATGCTGACAGCAGCACTTACAGGTCTTCATGTTGGACCTGGATGGCGGTTCTTTGTCAGGTTTCTATTCTTGCCACAAACTTTGGCACACTAAACAACCTGTTGTTGGGCTGAGTTCATGTATTTGTTTCAAAATGTCTCAGACACAACCACTTGTAATATCTTATAACTTTTAATGTATAACCTACTACCAAACACAACTGCCTATCTTGCAATTTGGTGACCTAGATCTGCTCCATCGTTTAATACTTGTTACATGTTACAGCTGCTCCTGGCTGGTCTTTTTTCCATAATCTTGCTGACATACATACAAAATACTAATTGCACAGTCTTTATTATTAATCATCCAACAATCAATAGCTAGCTTGCTAAACCAAAATATGGTATTTACAGCAAATAATATTAGACCAGAATGTAAGCATTGGTACTATGAGCATCGATAGGTATCGGTAAGCTGTTTTCCTTTTCTTTCTCACCTAGTTTGTAATTATGCCCAATATCATTATGAGATTTTTTCTTCAATATGGCAATTGATTCTTCGATGACTTTTTCCTCTTGCAGACTCGAGAAAATCCAATCCTCTTCATCTAAAAAAATCTCTGCAGAGCTGGAGTGGTGACAGAGAAGAAAACAGGTACACATTGTCATCATCTCAACCTAAAATGGTGTAATACAATATAACTGTATTGGAATCGGCTGTTACACTCACTCGTAAGCGTCAGTGGACGGTTTTACCAAGCTTGTCCTGACCAGACCTATTTCTCCTGTTGCTTCCTTCTTCCCTGTGAACCAATCAAAACAAGGCACCAAAAATCCCACAATCGTGATGGGATCACCAGGTGACACGCTCAGCTCGTCGGGGCCCTCAGCATCATACTCCTTTTTAGCTAGACAGGTTCCTCTGGCTAAACAGAGGAGACACTACATGAAGATAGTCCCAAACTGTGAGAGAGGTTTCTGTAGCAACAAGTATCTCTGAAAACTGGAAAATCAACTTTTATTGTAAACTATTTCCATATGTCAAACTAATGCATATTTGCCCAAATGTAATCAATGGTATACGTGGTGTATGTGTGGCCAACTGTCACATCACCAAACCCAATACATACAAAGTGTTAAGCATGCCACCTGACTGCTTTGTGTAAAGCTGGGTGAAGGGGGGGATTATTGTCTGGGGGTGCTTTTCAGGAGGGGCTTCAGCATACCGAGACATTTTGGACAATTTCATGCTCCCAACTTTGTGGGAACAGTTTGCAGATGGCCATTCCTGTTTCAAAATGACTGTGCACCAGTGCACAAAGCTCCATAAATGGTGTGGAAGAACTTGACTGGCCTGCACAGAGTCCTGACCTCAATCCAACAGAACACCTTTGGGATGAATTGGAGGCGATACTGTGAGCCAGGCTCTAGTTGTAGCCCTATGCCTAGCACAGTGACCTCAAGGCTAGACTGGAAATGATTATATGAGATAAATGAACGTGACTGAAGTTAACATAACGCAAACACTTACCAAAGTGCAGAGGGAAGTCACAGGTAGATTTCCCATCACCTATTAAAATGCTTTCTGCACACGATTTGAGAAACCACCTGTGGACAGATGGGATTATCTGACCTCATTTACGGTACTTCATGTTCACATCAAAGTTACTATGAGACTGCTTAAGGTCCACACGGGCCTTTATGTGGCTGTAACTCACTGATGGAAAGGGATGACTGGCTCCAGAGCAGGTCTAGGTGCAGTGCCCCGTGCTCCATCAGCCAGACAGAGAACAGTCCACCCTGAGCCTAGGAAGGGAGGCTCGAACTGGGCTATGTCTCCCTGCTCCAAGTACAGGTCTCCTCCAGAGGTTGAACTGTCAAACATCTGGCTGGCACTGCAACTGGCAAACAATGAACCTAACAACAAAGAGAGTGAGCAGGCTAAGTTTACTTATATAATGACAGTAAAACAGCAACAGCGACAAAAAGTTCTTAGTGACATTATTGCAAGAACTGACTGGCTCCTGCTGTTGTCTACATTATGAGGGCTAGAAATGTCCAACAGCAGGGGAGAGAAAACATTTTGTCGTGGAAAACTGCAACAGCCTGAGCTGGAGCTTTGAGATCAGCTGACTAATATTCACTCACATTTATTGCTGAACATTAACTGTAAATAAACACACTGAGCTTGATCTTCTAAACTGGCCTCCTGAGCCCACCGGATCTCCTCAGCTATGACAGTACGATCTGGCCATAAATTAAATAAGCGGACCCATGAGTAAATTCCCCCTCCCCAAAAAAAAAGGAATATCATGGGTTCCTATACTGTTTGGTATAGGAATGATACAGGTATGGTTGGTCCTTTAAATAAATGGACGTCAGTCAGGCTGCTTGTGAAATTATTTCTCAGAACAAGTTTATATTAGTCCTTTAAATTCACTACACAACATGCCTGCATATAAAATGATGTTGCGTTTGGTGTGAATTGGAATTATCAGCATACAAACATATGTAACTCATTTAAATAGTTAACTTATACTTTCACTCGTCTAAGATTTTACCAGGTAAATGCACACCTTTGTTACTAATTTACAGTTTCCTGATATCATGTCTAATCACCTTCTAAAATGATATTTTAGTGCCAACCTTCTTGTAGGAGGATGCCTCTGTAGAAAAGGTTAAGTGTTTCCTCCTGAATGGTCACCTCAATAGCAAAGTCATCCTTCGAAGAACTGAGCCAGAACGTCTGGTCTAGCAGTAGGTTCTCCATACAATGGCGCAGGAAACCTGGAGGAGGGGAGGATGTTCACAGAAGGCAGTGTGAGGTATTTGGACTGTGTCATTATTTATTAACAAGAACTAAGACAAAATGCCAGAGCAGTGTGGAACAACCACTAATCCAACACCTTTAGCAACAATAACTTGAAGTTTATGTATTAATTTAAAAGGAGGAATTTTATCCTCATCTCTACAACATCTACATCATCTTTTGTCTGTTTATTGAGGTTAACAGGTGTTTGTTTATGTCCAGCTCTCTTAAGTTCTTGTCACAGTATTTTAGTTGGGTTTGGATTTTGACTGGGCCACTGCAACACCTCGTTTTTTTCCTACTTCAGTCATTCTGTTGTAGATTTGCTGGCGTTCTTGGGCTCACTGTTCAAGCTATCGCCTCCAAACAGAGTCCCTCACACTCGACTCCACACAGAACAGTCTGTCTGTTTTATACTGTCTCCAGTTATCCAACTTCAATTGTCATTAGCAGTGTTGGTCAAGTTACTTGAAAAAAGTAATCAGTGACTAATTACTGATTACTTTGCCAAAAAAGTAATCCTGTTATTTTACAGATTACTTATTTTCAAAAGTAATTAATTACTTAGTTACTTTTATAAACAATATTTACAACCTGAATAGGTGATAAAGTGATAGGTCTTTCAGCCCAATTCTACTTTTTCTACATAATCCATCATACAAAATGTAATCAAATGGAAAAGTCTCTTTTTAAAACTTGTTTTATTAGTTTTAATCTTTTAACTTTATGCATCAAGCAAAAATTTAATTATATGCAACATTCTCTGACTGGAAGAAATTTGTTTAATATTTAAACCGATTTTCTGCACATTCCAGCACATAAAATATTTTTTTGTGTGTTTACACTCACTCTTTCAAATAGATGCAAGTAAAACACAGCAGAAAATAAATAAAGTCAAAGACTAGCGGTCCTGTTGCTCTATTTTCACCTGTAAAGCAGGAGTGGGGTAGGCGGAGGTTTACCCTGGTGCAGGTGTGCCGCAGCGGTCAGTGGAAGAATCCGCGAGTTTCTCTGTGAGTTTCCCATTACATCGTAGCTACTCGGTGCTTGCTCGGAAGTTTAGGGGGTTTTTTTTCACTGTAAAAAGAAGTTTTCTTCCCACGCACAACGGACACTAATGTTTTTGTCACTTTTTACAGAATCAAACTCAAAGTAAGGTCAGTACTTCCACGCTTTAAACGCTGCATGCTCATACTCTCTCTGCACTCGATATATGATCCATTGTTGATCTGCACACAGCTGTTGTCACGAACGTCGCACTCGCTTACGTCACTGTCATGAGACATTCTCGCAAAAAAATCACGGTTTTAGTAACGCAGTAACACAGCGTTCCTACGGGAAAGTAACGGTAATCTAATTACCGTTTTTGCAATAGTAATCCCTTACTTTACTCGTTACTTGAAAAAAGTAATCGGATTACAGTAACGCGTTACTGCCCATCTCTGGTCTTTAGATGAAGCTAAATCCCAATTTCAATTTGATTTTAAATCTAATTATTCAATACTGAACTAAGCAGGACTAAATTTTAGAACTGCATGACAAGATCTCTAATATGAAAATCCTATTGTTGGTTTGTTTTTATGACATTACATATATGTAATAGAGCTTCAGCTTCTTCAGTTCATGAAGAAGCTGAAGAAGCTTCTCGGATGAGAGGTGAAACGTCTTCAAGCAACTTAAAGAAGTCCAGACGCTTTTCTAGACGACATCACATATACTTCCACCTCAGAGGTAAATTCTGGTTCTTATATAATGCTTTTCTACTCTTCTGAGCACTTCACACAACTTTGTGCATTCACCCAATCACACCAGCACATTTTTTTTCTGTATTCTAACTTTCACACATTCATACTCTGATGGATGCATCGGAGAGCAATTTGGTATTAGTATCTTGCCCAAGGCAAGCAGACTAGGGGAAGCCAGGAATCGAACCGCCAACCTTCCGATCAGTAGATGACCTGCTCTACCTTCTGAGCTACAGGTGTAGCTACAGGCACAGCTCAGGCGGAGCCACGCTACAGTGTACTCCATACCTATTTTGTAATATGTGGTGAACTTCCATATGTCTTCAAACGTTGCAAACATCACATAAATGGCTTTTCTTTCACTGTTGATGGAGATGAGATGGGCGGACAGCTCCTGAAGAAAACAGAAAACAGTGTTGATACTGAAGTTTCTTAACTGTCCATCTGATCCAATTATCATTTGATTGCTCACATTTAACAAACTGATACATAATGAATGTCATTTAAACATCAAACTGAAGCCACTTTTCATGTCTCAGTAAAATGCATTTTACAGTTTTACAGCAGTTACAGGAAGTACAGCAGAAAAATGAGCTGTGGCAGCACAACAAGAAGAGAAGAGTTAATATTTAACTGAAATGTGCTCCAATAATGTTTCACAGCTGAAGTCATAAAAACTGTAAAGACCATCACTTTCCAGATGTTTTTCAAGCATGAGACAGAGAGTGAGCAACACCACATGAAGATAAACAAACTTCAGAATAAGTATTTAAAAAATTAAAAAACCGGCAGAATACATATATGATCAAAATGTGTCTCGAATAATTCAAACAGCGGCAGGTTGCTCACTGACCACAATCACATGGCTGCCAATGCACACAAATGACATCAAAACAACACAGTGAAAAGAACACAAATGTCTGTTTTCTGTGGAGGTCCATAACACTCACCGTCTCTTCTCTCAACCAACCTTTGTTTTCACCGGGGCGCTGCGACACAGAGTCTAGGATCACTGTAGTGACCCTAATATTACGGCAGAGCTGTCAGGAAGTGTTTGAACTCTTTCAATTAAAATGGTTGAGGAGTTACAGATGTTTAAAAGATGTTGTGAAACACCTGTCTGACACCAGTGACAGGGTACGCTTTAGAGGGTTCAACTCCTGATCAGTTTGTCTGAAACCTCCTCAGATGGCCACTCTCAGCTTTTCCTCCTCAATCACCACTTAAATGAAAAATCCTTTTTTTCATTTTTTACATTTGTATTACAAACACATGCTTTGTAGAATATGAGGCTGCACAATGAGCAGAATATAAAGTATTTAAAAT